TGTCGAAATACCTAAGTTGACGACGTGAATCCCGGCTTCTTTGAACTTGGATTCCCATTGCTCACCGACTTCTTTCCCCTCCGTTCCGTCGTACACCGCCTCCATGATCAGCGCGTTCTCGTCCCATAGGAATCTCAACAAAAAAAAGAAAAATGGAATCATCTTTCCACGTCCTATCTTCCACCCCACACCCAATTTCCTCCCACCTCACGCGGGGATCCCACCAGAAATCCCGAAAAACGATCCATTTCCCTCACCCGCCGTCGAACCAAGAAATGATGAACGTTTTCGCACATTTCTTGTAGTCGTTCTTCACCCCAATGCAGATGTCTCCATTTCTCAGTCGTCGATACGCATGTACGTCGATGCCCACCAGAGGGCCTGCACATTCCAATCAGTTATTTTCTACACATCTCGTAGGAGGCCACCGAAAAACCGAAGTTACACAGAAATTGGAATTTTAGTCGTTCGCACTGTTGGCATTGAATAATTTTTTTCCGCCACAAGGCAATTTCTGGTGACTCGTAATATTTACTAAGGGCTTACCATATCATGCTTTGAACCGGTTGTTGACCCACCCGATTTGGAGAAGTGAAGACGACTTCGCGTGATGTTGAGCCGCCAGGGTTCGTTCCCGACGAGGAGACTGCCTTGGTGGACGCTCGGGTCGTCCTTTCAAGTGACACCGGTCGACGTCAATTGGCAATTTCATTATTTATTTATTTTTTTATTACCAGTTTTCTGTGCCTCACCGTTTTGGGGTTCGGCGGCGGAGTGGGCCAACCGGAACGTGAAAACGAACGGCCGCTATCGGGAAAGAGAGAGGAGCTCTGCTGAAAATCTGCTGAAAGTCTGCTGAAAATCTGCTGAAAGTCTGCTGAAAATCTGCTGAAAATCCGCTGAGGTTTTTTCGCCCATGGCATTTTTACAGTTTTGTTTTTAACTCAATGATGAAACTCCAATCCAGAGGCGTAGACATTTTCGAAAAGAGATCCCTTCATTCATCAATTGTTTATCGTCAATTCCTCATCGTTAATTGTTCATCGTTAATCGAAGTGGGAATAATTAATTGCTAATTGTTTCTCATTGCCCCTTTCGTCTGAGAAATGACCAAGCAAAGCTGGAGCTCACGAATTCTTCAGAGAGGAAGACGGGTTCATTTCTAAAAATTTCTGAGCGGAAGACCTGTTAATTTCTGAAAATCGATAAGTAGGTCAGAATCGGAAATGCGACCGAAGGAGTCGCCTAGTGCTACGGTATCAGCATTGCCGCACATAGTGTCAGGGCATCGTCTGCCCATCGTGCCCCATCGTGCCTGCCTCCCAATTGGGAGGCAGGCACGACAGACGGAAGGGATGCGGCCTCCCAATGTCTGTCCTCGGCATTCAGAAGAATCCCGCTTGTTGTTGCTTGTTGTTTTTAAAGCAAATTTGTCCACCTCGATTGAAACGGCTTTCCTACAGCTATGAGCCTTGTTTGCACGAACAGATGCTACCAGATCGGCACAACAGTCATAATCGGCACAGTTTAAAATGCAAGTTTCTGCAAAGCATACCAACAGCTAACATTTATTTTTGAGGCCATTAGCGCTTAACAAGACACATCTCATTGCTTATGACATTTCCAGAGTCTGATGTATGCTGAACCATGCTTAACCATGCTTAACAAGACGCAAGGGGCGAGACCTCACCGCCTCATCGAAGGGTGATTGGTGTTGACGAAGGCGCATTCCGCCTCGATGTAATTCACCAGGCGTTTCTTGCACCTGTTCTTGTCTTCGTGGCGGATCTCGGACGTCCGGGACAGCACGGCTAATTTCAGGTTCGGGTAGAACCCGATCTCCTGTTTCACAGAGAATCAAATACAA